CTAATTAGTAAGTCACATGCAATTCAGGGTGAGCTTGCCAACTGGATGCAAAATTGGCTTCAAGTCAGGAGACAGTTATGGTGTGGGTTTGTTTTTCATACTGGAGGCCTGTGACCAGCGGTGTTCCACAGGGATCGGTGCTGGGTCCACTTGTGTTTGTCATTTATATAAATTTGGATGAGAATATAGGAGAGATGGTTATTAAGTTTGCAGATGACACCAAAAGTGATGGTACAGTGCACAATGAAGAACATTGTCTAAGATTACAAAAATATGTTGATCAATTGAGTCAATAGGCTGAAAAGTGGCAGATGGAGTTTAATTTGGATAAATGCAAGATTGCATTTTGGTACAATAAACAAAGACAAAATGTATACAATTAATGGTAGGACCTGGGTAGTGTTGTAGAATAGAAAGACCTGAGGTTCAGGTATATAATTCTTTGCAGTTTGCATCACGTGGGATGGTTAAGGTGGTGTTTAGATGCTTGCCTTTATTGCTCACACCTTTAAGTATTGACGTTCGGATGTAGTGCTGAGGTTGTATGGGTGTTGGTGAGGCCGCTTCTGGAGTACTGTCCTGTTTTGGGAAAGATATTATTAAGCTGGAGACGGGTCAGAAAAGGTTGACTAGGACGTTGCCGGAATGGAAGGTTTGAGTTAAAAGGAGAGGCTGGATAGGCTGAGACTTTTTTCCACTGGAGCATAGAAGGTTGACCATATAGAGGTTTCTAAAAACATGGGGGGTATAGATAAGGTCAGTGGCTGGTGCCTTTCCCCCAGGGTGGGGGACTTCAAGAGTCGGGGGCATATTTTTAATGAGTGAGGAGAGAGATTTAAAAAGACATGGGCAATTTTGTTTTAACAGAATGGTTTGTGTGAAATGAACTTGCAGAGGAAGTGGTGGATGCAGGTACAGTTACATGCTTTAAAAGAGATTTAGATAACTACATAAAATGTTTGGAGGGATATGGGCCAAGTGCAGGCAAGTGAAACCAGTTTGGTTTGGACTGGTTGGACTGAAGGGTCTGTTTCCATGCTTTGACTTTGACTCTAAAGCCTGAATTCAGAGGTTTAAAAAATTGTGTTCTGTAGGGCAGGGGTTCAGTTTGGGGGGTTGGTTGTTGTAAGTGGAATAGAAGTTTCATGGAAACTTCTGGATTGAAAAAGAAACTTCATCCATTTTGATGCGCTATTTCTGTCTGGCAATGTGTTTGGTGTCATGGAAACACTTGATTTGATCAAAAGCTCAAGGATAAGTTGCTTTTCACAAGCACTGAAACAATCTTAAAGTCAAACCTGTAGCTATGTCTCAACATGGTTTGTTGAAATTGTGTACAATTCCTTCTCTACTTTCATTCTTACCTGTTTGTACCAGTTAATTAAATTTGACTTTTTTTGTTTGGGTTTTCTTTCGATTTACTTTTTCAATAAATAGGTACTGTTTCTGTTTGGCATCCATACAAAATAGACATCATGTAATACTTCTAGCTACTGGACCTGATTTAAATGTATGTATGCACTATATACCCCTGGGCACCCCTGTGTGCATACTGTACATCAAATGTACAGATTCAAAGCTTGCATGAACTTCTTAAATTGACAAGGATGCCAGGTTGAATTGGGCAAGTGTAGTGATTAAAGTTGATTTATTTGGTTTGTCAGCATGGTTCCAAATAATAGCCTCTTCAAAAAGGAAAAAAAATGAAGCTGGCATGTAAATTGCATAAGATTCATCCTATTTGTTAAATAACTTTGAGGGTTTTTTGAACGCTAACGTGGTTTTAGGATGTAAACCAGCTCCTCCATATGGCCCTATCATCCCTATAAATATATTTTTGAATTCGTGTTAAAGCATAAACAGCAGCAGAATTGTTTTGACAGTGAGCTTACAATCGTCGGCAATTGAGTCTTTGTCCATTACATTGCGACGTTACTCCTACTGAAGCATCTTCCTGGCAAAGCTGGAATACAATGGTGGTGATTACTTTTCTGAGTCACATGCTGCATCTTTGCTGCAGTTGATGCAGGCTGTCCTCTTTTGTGCATTGAAATCAATGCAACAGCACCCAATGCATTTCTTGTATTTACCTTAGACTTGCTTTGTCTAATTTCCATTGAACAAGCAAGAGGAATAATGTTATTTTTGAATTCACAAGTAAAGCACTGCAAATTTTGTTTCGTAGAGGATAACTATTAATTAGGGAATAATGACTAGACAGTACGAAAATAATAAAGCTGCAAGGAGTAATGAGAATAGGTGTTCAGGCAAGAACAGGAACTATTATTTCAATAAAATGTGGAGAACGAAAATGAGGCATATAATCTTCAAGACAATATTATTGCAGTAGTACATTGAAGGAGTTATTTTGAGATACTAAGTAATGAGGGAGTAATCATGTTGGGTGTGAGGTATTTGAACATTACCAGATACGTGCGGTGCTAAAGTCTTTGATAAAATCATCTCATTAACACTTGTGTAGATCTAAGCATTTTTGATATGGTAATTTTGTCTTTTTTTCCCCCCTCTGCAGTGAAATGAGTAATTTTATTTTTCACAATTTGAGTAAACTTTTGAAAGTTGAGCATGAATGATGAATAATGCAACACGTTTTAGATCCATAATAAACTTAAGCAATATAGTGAATGCCCACCATACTTGGATTTATGCTATTAATTCTGAAGTTTCTAATCATATTGATTTAAATATGCTTTGTTTTTAATTCATAGCCATAATAGTATTGAATGGTTGTAGTGAATCAAATTTAGCAATAAATGTAGTGCAAATATGGAGCAGAAGTGAACAGCATTTTTTATGTAATCAATCATCCCTCTAAATAAACATGGGTAAGTAACATGCTGCTGGATTGCATTCATTTTACATCACTCCTTACCAATAACATTATTTATTCAAGCTCAGACCTCCAACCCAATAACCCACCGATTGTCTGTATTTCCTATTTCTGGCTTCTTGAGCATCTCTGATTTTAATTGTTCCTCTCTTGATAGATGTGCCTTCAGCTTCAAGCCTTGCTGCCTTGTCTCTTTCCGCCTTTTAAGATACCCCTTGAAGTCTGTGTTTAGAGATTCATGAGATGTGGGTGTCGCTGGCCAGGCAAAAGGTGGTGATGAACTGCTACCTTGAATAATTACATCCACAGTGCTGCTGGGGAAGGAGCTGCAGAATTTTGGCCCAGCAACACCGAAGGAATGGCAAAATATACTTGCACCGTATGTAGCTTGGAGGGAAATTTTGCAGAAGATGATGTTTCCATGTATCCTTCTGCCATTGCCCTCAAAGATTGTCATGGTTGTGGGTTTGGTAGGTGATATCTAAGTCTCAGAATTTCTGCAGCACATTTTGTCAATGGAACAGCATTGTTGCTACTGAGTGGTGGTGGTGGTAGGAATGAATGTTTGGTTGTGATGCTAATCAAGTGGGCTCTTTCAACCTAGGAGAAAATTACTACACAGGCTGGAATCTGTACTGAAAACAAAATGCTGGAGATCACAGTGCGTCAAACAGCATCCATGGAGAGAGAGAGCAAGCTAACGTTTCGAGTTCAGCTGCGATGAAGAATCATCTAGACTCTATGTTAACTTGCTGTCTCTCCATGGATGCTGTGTGATCTAAATTTGGTGTTTTCAGGGTTCTCTCAAATGGAATGGTATGGAGTTTCTTTTGCTGTTTGGAGCTACATTCATCCAGCCAAGTGTGGAATATTCCATGGCATTGAATGATGGACAGGCTTTGGGCAGTCAGAATGAGAGTTACTCTTGCAAGATGCTGAGCGTCTGACCTGCTCTTGTAGTGCAGTATGTATACGGTAACCCCAGGATGTCGATATTGGGGGATTTAGTTATTGTGATACCATTGCCCAGCTCGTGTGAGTTGCAAAGGTTACAGGTTTTTCAGCATTGTGCAGCAGTCCATGCCCGAATGTCGAGTTCCAAATGGTGCTGATTTGGATGTCATCAGCAAACATCCCTCTTCTGACATTCGGATCGAGGGAAAGTCCTTGAATCAGCTGAAGATGTTGGGCCAAGGACGCTATCTTGAACTCCTGTAGAGATGTCCTGGAGCTGAAATGACTGACCTCCAACAACCACAACCATCTTCCTTTATGCCAGTTTGACACTGCTTACCGTTTGAATCCAGTTTTCCTAGGACTCCTTGATGTCACACTGTCAGACGCAGCCTCGACATTAAGGGCAGTAAGTCACATCTCTTCTGGTCATGCTTTTGAGCATCTACCCAAATATCTCCTTGTGTAGTTCCATGTCATTTTGTAATGCCTCTACCCAGCATTGCAGTGTTTTGTAATGTTAAAGGTGTTCTGTTGATGCAAATTATTGTTTGATTGATCTCACATTTGTATCAACTTGTGCTAATTTACCAGCTTGAAGTTTAGAAAGCAAGAACAGTGTGAAGAGCAAGGAATGAGAGTGCCTACTGCGTTCATGTCTTCAGATGTGTAACATTTGGCATGGTCTTTTGACTTAAGGTTCATGAGGTGGGAAAATCTGGATGGAAGCCAACTAAATTTTCTCCAGTAATGTCAAAGGTTGTCTTGATTCATCCTATCTAAATTTAATCTTTACAAACCCTCATTATACAGTATTTTTTGTAAATGGTACAGAGTTTATCATAACATTTGAGAGTTTTTGAATTCTCTAAGCTACAGAGATCTCTTACTTCTAAAGATCTCGATGTGTCAAGGAGAGAAATCTCAAACGAGTTAACATCCTTTTTTTTTAAACAGCTGTGACAATTCTGATCAGTTTTTTTTTGTCAAAAACCTCGATAAATTTCAGCATTGTTACACAAAAAAACTTTGGATCGGTAGCATAATGATTTTAAAACGTGTAGCATTCTCTACCAGACGCAAAGTGCAATGTAAGATTCATAGTATATTTTCCTGCTGTTGACTTTCACTATATATGGTATTATGACTTGCATACTTTGAAATATTAAGTTTCATTTCTCTACATTGTTTTCAGATCCAGCAACTGAGACAACTGAGAGCAATACATCACAAGTCATTTTCAAAGGATAATGTACGTGAATGTGAAGAGTGTGAATATAAGGTAGTCATATCATGATCTACTATTTGAATTTTATGCCTGACCATATTTTGTGCATTACATGTTAAATTATGGAAGATTGTATTGCACTCTATATTTAAAGATTCTCTGAAATGTTTGCTGAAATATTCTACGTTTCATAACTTAGCTTCTGTAAGAGCAGATATTTTTCCATAAAACTAAATGGAAATTGCCAAAGATGTAAATGTGTTTCCTGCAGCCTGATGCCATTAACTTTTTAAGTCCATTTTCTTTAATATTTATTCACAGGATATGGGTATCATTGGCTAGGCCAGAATTTATTGTCCATTGCTAATTACCATTGCGAAGGTGGTGATGAGCTGCTGCCATGGACTACTGACGTTTATGGCAGGTAGATGCACTCGCTGTGCTGTTAGCTATAAAGTTGGATCTAGTGGTGGTGAAGGAACAGTGATATAGTTGAGTCAAAATGGTGAGTGTCTTGGAGAAAAGTGGTAGCAGTGGTGCTTTCATGCGTCTGCTGATGCTTTCCTTCTAGATGGTAGACCTCTTTGGGTTTAGAAGGGGCTGTCAAAAAAAACTGGTGAGTGGCTGGCATGCATCTTCTGGATGGTAGATATTGCTCCTGTCAGTGGTGAAACAAGTTGTGTTCAGAGGTGCATAGGGTGCCAGCTAAGCAGGTTGCTTTGTCCTGGATGGTGTCCAGCTTCTTGACTGTTTCAGTTGCATTAATTCATGTTTGTTAGCAATATTCCATCCCATTCCTGACTTGTCTGGTCAGGAGGTAAGTTACTCGCTTTGGAATTTCCAGCACCTGACCTGCTTTTATAGCCTCAGTATTTATATGCTTAGTCCAATTCTGTGTCAGGTCAATTGGTAATCTAGGGGGTGGGGGGAGGGGGCACAGTTACATTCTTTTGGCAATATTGTTGTATGACACAGATGCAAATGTGTCCAGCCAGTCATCAACTAAGCTTGGGTGTCTTGTAGATTTTGCTGCATGTAGATACATACTGCTGTATCTGATGAATTGTTAGCAGTGGTGAACTTTTTAGAATTTAGAATTAGGTTTTACTGGCATGTTAACCCATGTGGTTTTGGTGGGTAAAGTTCAGGGTAATGGTCCATTTAAGAACTAGGTCCCTCTGAAGAGGGAGTTAAGTGGTGGTGCCTGGCTTCAAGTAAATTCGAATGTGATCAGTTTGTGTCTGGTCTGTATTGTGTTCAAAATAATACTCTGATCAAATGGATAACCTTCCAATGTTTTAAGTATCTGACTTGAGTTTTAGATGCCGGTTTAATGGGTGTGGAATAAAAGTTGGTGTAAGGAGTTGGCTTTAGATTATAAATCACTGTAGTTTTTATTTGTACGTAACTCCACTATTTAAAGTCTATTAGGATTGATGTACTTGATTTTGGAATGGTAAAATTATTTTGTACTAAAGCCTGAATCTTACTGCATCATTCTCTTCGCAAATACTCTGGTTTTTTGGTTTTACGCTTTATAAGCACCCAACAATGAACATTTTTGGTCTGTATGAAATCATAGTGCTATGCGATTCTCTCCATCCACCAGAGTGGGTAACCAGGGCCTTGATCTGACATCTGACAGTGAAATGCTCCATCAGGATTGCACTGGAATGCCAGTAGTGAACGGAGAAAAATTCAATTGGCAATTGAGAACTGTTAGAAAGCAGTAATTCCATGTCGTTAGTGTGAGTTGCTCAGTGGAAGCCTATGCAAAGGACCAGTATTGGCCATTTATCCTTTGGCCTGTTCCGCCATTTAATGCAATTGTAGTTGATCCGATGTAGCCTAACTCCTTTTTACTTGCCTGATACCACATCCCTTTTTTTTAATTTATTACTCTTTTATTGGCTGACAGGGCCAACATTTGTTATCCATCCCCCAACTGTCCTTGAACTAATTGCCTTACTAGGCAATTTCATAGTGTATTTAAGAGTCAATAACTTTGAGGATCTGGAGTTACTTGTAGGCCAGAATGGGTAAGGGCAGCAGATTTCCTTCCTTTAAAATTGATTAGTGCATTATGTTTTAGAATAATTGGTTTCGTGGCCACTAATTACTGAGACCCACTTCATAAACCAGATTTATTAAATTCCATCAACTACCTTGCTGATAATTTATCCGATGTTCCCAGAACATGAGCTTGGGCCTCAGATGCAGTAACATTACCACTCAATCTCCCTTTTGGATAACACAAATCTATCAATTTCTGTTCTAAAAGTAATAATTCTGCATCACTAGTATTTGTGGAAAAATTCCAAACTTCTGCCATCTATTGAAGTATTTCATAATTCCAATTCTGAAATATAACTTTTACGCAGACTCCCCCCACCCCCCAGCAACCTGACCTTAAACATCCAAAAAGTAAAAGGTTTTTCCAGTACACCCAACCTGTTCCTTTTAACATTTTGAAGGCTTCAATCAAAGGGAATTTTTAGGGAATTGAGTTTAATTCCATTAATCTTTCCTCTTAATTTTAACCCTGGTTCTGACAAATCTGTGCCCTGCTTCCTTCAAAGCCAATATGTTCTTCCTAAAATATAGTGAAACAAACATGCTGAAAATCTGAAACAAAAACTGTGTTGGAGAAACCTAGCAGGTCTGGCAGCATCTGTCAAGAGGAAAGCAGAGTATTGCACCAAGAACTGCTGGGTGTACTCCAGGTGCACTCTAACAGACTTTGTATAACTTCCCATAGATAAAAATATATTTTCACTGACAACATCACTATTAGATTTCTGATGGTTCCATGCACCTGTTCATGACTTTTCTGTGATCTATATACTTGCACTCCAACTATCAATGACCTCCATTGTTTCCAACTTTTCACCATTGAAAAAATGATAAAGCATAGTTTAAGTTATTTATAAGTGGATTAAAATTGCATTTGCCCACATTTTCACAATTTTGCACATTCACCTAATCATTCAATGTTAATTTCTGTAACTTAATGCTTGCATATCCACCATTTATAGTACAGCTTAATTGTATAATTGGCAGATTTGAAAGTGTGGTTTTCTAAACATAAGTAACTAATGAATACCATGAATAGTTGAGGCCTGAAGACACACTGTTCTCTACAGCACTGAACATGTCCCATGATTTAGTTCTTGTCAGCTGTTCCTGCTCTGTCTGCTTTTTGCTCAGTCAATTTCCTAACCAAGACGTAATTTACCTTTTTTCAATTCCTAAGCTTCACCATTAGGTAATGATCTGTTGACCTTACCAAATAAAGACAGTGCCCAAGAACCTTAGCAAGGCTGGTAATATCTGTGAAACAAGACAGCAAGTTAACATTTTGAATCCAATATAATTCTCTTCAAAAGCTTTTGGGGAAGTTCATATAGATAACATCCTCTATAGATTCCCCTATCCATCATTAAACAACACTTCATAACATTCCACAGATCTGTCCAGGTCTTAAAATCTGTGCTGGAGACTTAATATATTCAGTCACCTCATTTTTAACTATAAACTTAAAATTTCTGGCAATTGATGCTAAGGCTAACTAGTCTGGTCACTTGGTTTCCTTCTGTCATCTTTCTAAATAATTGAGTGACATGCCCAATTAAAGGGGTACTTCCTCCAGCAAGAGAATTTTGAAAGATTGTAACTTGGCACTTGTAATGTTCTTGCCTCCATTTAACCCTGAGGTGACAACCATCTTGTTCTGTGAAACTTGATCTTTTGATGGCATTAATTTCTTCGTTATTATTTTACTTGCATTAATGTTGAATTTCTGTCCATGTTTCATTAATTTTTCTTGGGAGGTCTGGCATGCTGAACTTTTTCTCTACCGTAAATGATGCACCCAGTAATCATTCAGCATGCCTGCAGTTGCCATTTTTCACTAACAACATCATCATTAGTTTTCAAGGGGTTGTATGGCTTCCGACCCCCTTAATGTATTTGTAAATGTTGGTTTCATATGCCTTCCAAGTTTCCTTTCATACATGTTGTTAGCTCATACTGTGTGTTTTGTCACTGTTCACTCTTGGTAGCTTTCCATTGCATCAGAATCTATGATTTACATTTTTAAAAACTTTTTTTAGTTTTGTTTATTGTCAGTGTTGAGAAGTGGAACTCTTCAGTGTTATAAACTGTTTCAGTATGGTGTTTCTTTTTGATCACCTGCTGTTAATGCCATACCCATTAGCAGGTTTTTCCGGTTTATTATAAATAGCCCATTTCATTCCATTGAAGTCATCTTATCTAAATCTTGGATCTTAGTGCTGTTTCCATGTTCAAACAATCATTGAATTTAATCATGTTTTCATTGCTGTTTGATAGACGTCTGCACACTATTTATTTAACTTTTAAGTATTGGTTTTTTCCTCATTAGTAAATCCAGTTTCGCATGCCCTATTGTTCATTATCACATACTGTTTCAGAAAATTATTTGCAACCTTTGGTTTAAGCAGGCTGACACATTAATCTGTACAAAAATTAAAACTCCCCATTGGAACGACATGGCCTGTGCAATGTACTGGTTTAATTTCTGCATTTATACCAATTGCAACTTCACAGCTACTGCTGGGGTCCATTACACAACTCACTACAGTCTTAAATTCTTTTAGTCCTACCTATAAAGTCTCTGCCTGCTTAACCTCCAGCCATATCCCCTCAAAATTGATAAGATTTTGTCCTTGATCATTGAGGCTACTCCTTCCTCTCCTCTATTTTGCCCTATCTTTCCTGTAGACCTGAAACTGATAGATTTATAGTCCAGATAGTTGTTCAATCATGTCCCTGGAATGAGTACCATGTCAACACCTGAGTGAAATTTGTCTGCAATTGATTGTTCCATATAAATTTATATAAAGAAACTCACCCTAATCTGTGTTCCTTTTTAATATTTTGTTCAGATTTCCTATTTCTGACCTGGTTAAGTATTTTACATCTTTTAGTTTTCTTTTTTCTCTATATGCAAGAGTCTAGGACCAGGGGTCGAAATCTCACAGTAAAAGATTGCTCTAGTTAAGACCGGGAAAATT